TGAATGGAAAGAAGTCAAGGAAAGATCCATCGGAAAGACGAGCTCACATGGCCTGCTTACATACTCACATGTTCGCCACATGTCTTATCACATGTCTTGTTAAACGGTACCAGTTTACTGGCCGTGACATGCCCCTGCAAAAACCAAGCGGGGTGGCCATTTTGGTGTCCTTACAGGAATGTGGTTTTATTCAGCCTAGAACCGTGCACAGGGATACCAACTCTGTGAAGCCACAGGTCAAAATTAGGTTTGCGTTCCACTTCGTCGAACGCAATGATTTCCAGTCTGTACTGCGCAGTCTCAGCACCCTAAATGTTTATGAACATAAAACGTCCCACTCGACGGAATGCGAATCGATGTTATTCGTTGCGAACCACATACCTTATCTTTGAAGCCTTTCGGATTCTTTTTCCAACAGCTTCATTGATTTTACAGCTGCGAAGTTGTTTCATCAAGTGGTATGAGAATTAAAGAAAGGAACATAAAGCTTCGCGTCAGTAATGGCGGTTGATATGAAACTTTGAATTTACTTCGTGTAAGTGGCTGCGAAATGTTCACATTTAGTGATGTCTTACATGAAACAAAACAAAAAACGTGCGAGTGAGTGCGCAGCACGGACTGGAAATCCTCTTTAATACACTTTAACTCATGGAGCATTTATGCTTTTCCCGTTATCCCCTGACTTCCTCGCTGCATTCAACTTCCATGACTATAGAATAATTCGTAGTAAACAAGAAGCACCCATTCTAACATTAGGAGTTATTTGTGGTTGTTTGTAATGCATATATCTCCAATTTTGTTTTAGGATTATGTCGCTTATGGACACGGAGGCAGGATTTTGCCAGGTAGGGTATCATATCATACGAGCTACTGACCAATCGTTAGTGAAGTCAACAAGGCTGCATATTGGCCACGTTGACCGAACAAGCTTGTTCAATGAAGGATATATTATATGGTATAAAGAACACCATTTTATTTTGAGAAACAGCGGGTAATGCTGAGCAGACAGGATAGCCCCATCATTCCCGCGCAGGTAGCCAATCACAGCAAAGGATTTGGTTCGGCATTTTTTAAAAAAAAATTTTTGGCGGGGGTTCATTTTGGCCGCTTGCGAAACTTGGCATATGATATTGAGTTGTGTAGCAGCATGTTTAGTTTCGTATCTCTGAAACTTGTTGTGATCTTGCAATCCTAAACATCGTTCAATACTCTTCCGAAGAGGAAAAGAGAACAAAAATACTGATTAAAATTGGATTTTACATCTGATTTCAAAATCTTTGGATGTAATTGGCAAGAAATGAAAGAAACTTTGAACTTGACCATTGTGAGGATTATTGCAGTGATCTATTGATGTTGACCTTGAAAAAGAAATTCTAACTGAACCCAACACGAAGAAGTTATTATGAATTCCAAATCATCAGTCTGTTTATTCCTAGCCATCTGGTTTCGTTATGATCTGAGCCCAATCACTGTCAAATATGTGGAGAGACGCAAGCCACTCTATCATTTCATCACCACGGTATGATGCATTGAATAGTTAGAAATGCTCAGTAATTCTTTAATTCTTTACAAGCAAATAAATTAAATTATAGTTTTGTCTCTTTATTTAGCTTAAAACTCAGTGTAAGAGATTTCTAATGTAGCTTTCACTTCGCTATTTATTTTTCCCAGTCTTGTTCCCTTTTTTCCGTACAAACGAAAACGTTTTCTACAAACACTAAATATTCTTCTTGCACAATAATACTAGCACGTACGACGCGATGGTTCTTTGTGTAAAAAGGAGCTAAGATTCCCATCCACTTTGTAGATTTATGTGGAATCTTATTATAAAACTTTATGTAAAATAAGTTATGCATACCTATAGTAGTAAGTAGTAAGTATTAGTGACACACGTTAAAACTCGGACCATCATTGATTGGCTAATGTTAAACCTCGTATCTGATTAATGTATAATTTTTCGTTAGCGCGATGGAAGTGGGATGGAAGTTGCATGAAACTACGATGTACTTTGACCCTTTTGTTGCATCCGTTCCTCTCAAGTTAATATATAGCGCCACTGATTATTCCAATGAAAAGCAAGAAATCAGCAAATGAGAGTTATCAAAATTAAAAAGGTAAGAAAAGTACCAAAAGAATTTCTTTAAAGATATCGTGCCAAACTTTTCGGGCGTAGCCCTCCCTTCCACCTCTCTTATTTACGGTTCACTTTGGTACGTTTTGTTCCATTGAAGAGAGGCTAAGCCTTGGTATCTTTGAAAGAAGTCGTTTGGTACTTTTCTTACCATTCTTATGACACAGTGCAATGACACAGTGCCACGCAGTATTTGGAACTTGTTGTTATTATCAGGGGTAATTATTACTTGTGTTTAGTGTTTGCAGACATGCTGCCAGGTTTTGGTTCCTTCACGTTTTGTTTTTTGTGTTGATTTTCAGGTGTGCGCAATCGTAGGAGGTACTTTCACCGTGGCGGGTATTATAGATTCCATGATATTCACAGCCAGCGAGTTGTTTAAAAAGGCTCAACTAGGAAAGTTAAGCTAATTCAGGACCGTAAAAATGTCAGAAACAAAAATGGGATCGGTAACAATCATAGAGGCATTTACTCGCAGATTTTCTTAGCATTTTTGGCATTAAATTATTGTTCTTTTTGTAACTGTATTTCCCAGGGACATTTTGTACTGTTTTACTGAGGTAATTAGACTCTGTTAGTGTTTTTAAAACACTTTGAGACTATTCTTAATGAGAGAGGTCTTTTTATGTCATTTATATTTGCGACTTCCTAATGAAGTTGTTTACTTTATTATCATAGGAGTAGAATGCTGGGGAAATTTGATTGAAATATGAATTACAGAAGTTTTCATTTAAATTAGAACTATTGTTATGTATAATATACTCAGGGTTCGCCGTCAATAAAGTAAATGATCACCGAGTTCCTTTCTGTGCAGTTTGTTTGTTGTATCTTTATGGGTGGCAACCAACAAGCAAAAACTGCATGTACTCATTCAATGGGTGAATAATTTGAGTATTATTCCGAGCCAAGTCCACGAAGGATAATCTGGACTCCTTCCTATTTCTTGTGTCGTGGGAGAACAACAACAAAACAATTGTGTCGAGTGAAAGTGAAGGCGATCTCTGTGTCTCAGATGCCGACTCCTGTCTGTCTCCTTGTTTTTTCTCGGTGAAGGTCTATAGTCTTGTCAATTTGTGACCCATTTGCTTGATACAAGTGAAAAGAGCTGGAAGCGTCTTAGTGGGTATATTTTGTGAAGTATTATCAAAATATCTTGCTAGGTAAATTACAATTAAGGATATTGAATTTTCAGGTAATCCATGTCATATTTGGATTCTTCTGTCATTTGCATATTTGTCGTGACGTCCGTGCTATTGGTCGAACACCAAGTGAAACGCAAGATGTTCTGATAGAGCAGAATATAGTTCACAGATGCATTCTACTTACTAAAGATGGAACTTTTTTTGAGATGACTTCTAAGCGAATACAGCCGAGTCTGTAAACTGAATGAAACGTTTTGCTGCTCAGAACCGGAAACATGTTGAAACAAGAAAGGATGAACTGAAGGGTAAGAAAGTTTACTCCTCATATAGACCTTATTCTTTACCTAATCCCTCCTAAGTAATTTTGACATATCGTATTCATTCCTAAGCTCTGATTACTTTGGGCTGTCCACTTTAGTAAAATTCGCATCACAGGATTGCCTATTTCTAGACCCTCCTGGAATTTTGAGTGAGCTTAAAAGAACCTTGAGTGGAATTACCTTGAGATAAAGGCCTATATTGGGGATTACTGGAACTGTTTTACCCTTTAATCTTTCTCGCCTGAAACAACTGGAACATCAAGACGGAAACACCACGTAGCATAAAATCATTTATTTTGCCTCATTGCCCATGTGAAGGTTGAACTTGGACACGTTTTCTTGAAGAACCCTTTGTTCCTCCAAGCGCGCATTCAAATTCTGAAGTAGTATCTTGCTTTCTTGAAGCCCTCTTTGTAAGGCAGCGACTTCCCTTTGCCTTTGCTCGGCGGTTTCTTCCAGCAACGCCTCTTTCTGTTTCAATGTGCTTCGCAGTTCCTCCAGCTTCTGAAGGGCGTTGGCCTTCTGTCGTTTCATGTGTGCGACTTCACGTTGCATAGCTTTCTTCTCTCTGATTGTTTCACTAGTAACGCCCTTGATAGTAGCCTTTACTTCCTTTATGAAAGTGCGATGTGCGTCAATCTGAATTCTCAGGCGGGTAAGCTTTTGCACGATTTCTTCATTTTGCTTCCTTACTGGAGCATTTTCCAAAAGGAATCTTTCGATCGCTGAAATCTCGGTTTTCAGACTCAAATATTGTTCTTCATAGCTCTTCCTTTTATTAAACTCTTTGAATTCTTTCAAAATAACGCTGTGCTGACTTTCCTCCAAGGTTCTGTAACTTTCAACTGAATATGGCGGAAAGCATTCAAGAAGATATTTCAGTTTTCTTTCTAGGCGCGACACAAGATTATACCACTCATGGGCGGACGATTTGACCGTGAGAAGTTCTAATTTAACCTCCATTTCTGCAACAATCCTGCTGACTTCTAAATTTATCTCGAAAACTAGTGATTTGACCTGCTCGTGGGTGAGTCTGTTCCATCTGTTCTCACTCCGCGCAGTTATTGGTCCGCCTATTTTCACCATTGCACAGCCTTTTTACCTATTGAGACAAAAGAATTTTTTACTCGCATACTCTGCCAACTAATTGGGAAATTACTGACTAAAAAAATGCAGAGAATACGAACCTTCAAGATTACGGTTTGATGCCTCAATATTCAGTTCGCAGCGTTGTCCGTTATAATACCATTGTCAGCGTCATTCAAACCTATTTCTTGTGTCGCAGACAAAGCGCGCGCAAAAGCTCTCGCGACCTTCGCGACCTTGCTTTCACATAACGGCGCAACGTCACTGGGAAGAGCGCAAGGAAGAAGCAAGAACAAAAAAACCCAACCCTTTTTGTTATTAAACCTGTGAAGTCGGTAGAGACCTGGCAATAGGACTAGACCCGACGTTGTTGTCTTTTGCGGGCAGGTCAAGAACTAACCACTTGCGCTTCACTGCAACCGTGCATTGCAATTTTGAGAGAATTTTCAAATATCACTTGAAGCGTGAGTATATAAGTACTTTCGAACTTGCACTTGCATTCATACCCATATAATTAGCGGATGGATTGCGGGTGATAAATTGAACGAAAATCCGGCAGAAATGTTACGCAGATGAATAACCTGCGACCTTTGGCCCGGGATCCGGATCGTTGACCCGGAATTGTTATTCCTAAACGCGAATTTCGAATGCATTTTGCTCTCTCTCTTCAAAAAATGTTTCCTAATATGATCCTTAGTTCGATGTGCTTTAGGCTAAAATAGCAATTTTTAATCAATGGCTTTAGAAAAGTTTAGAATACTTTGTAAAGGATTAGTTGTTTTGGCTTTGCTTTGCATGGCTGAGCTCAGCGATTGGCTTAAACTATATCCAGAGTATCGATAAGTGTCGTAATAATAATAATAATAATAATAATAATAATAATAATAACAACAACAACAGCAACAACAACGACAACGACAACGACAACGACAATAACAATAACAATAACAACAATAACAATAACAACAGTAACAACAATAACTTTATCACCGTGTCAGTCTTTCTAGTTTTTACATGTGAAAACTAATTGGGGACACCAACCTACATGTACATTACTCCATAAATAAAATAAGTTTACAACCTAGTATATGTACAATAAAACAAAAGAAAACCTATATAAATACAGTTTACAAATCGACAAAAACTAATTTCTACATAAATAGCAATCCCTACATTTATATTGCGATACAACGTCTGACAGGTCGAGCGCCCTGATTTGATTTTTAAAAGCATTTAAGGAGTCAGCCAATTTAATAGAGTTATGCAGCTTCGACCAAATGAAAGGTCCCATACATCTTAAACTATGTCTCCCGTATGTAACAGTATTACATCTTGGTAAGGAAATATCGACTGCATTCCTAAGGTTATACCTACTCATGTTACAATTAAAAAGATCTGATATATATGATGGAACTAAGTTAGCCCTGACTTTATACATCAATATGGCTATGTCCTGAAGCCTGCGATTACGTAACGTTGGTAGTCTAGCTTTGTCTAGTAGCGCTTTATAAGGACTAATCCTGTCGCAGCAAATAGCCCGTAATGCTCGCTCTTTCTAAATAGCCTTTCTAAATAGCTGATATTTTTGTAACACGATCACCAGTAGTGCTTGTGCTTATGTGCAAGTATTGTAACCAAAGGTTACCCCATTGGCAGACTATTTAATTTTTTTGTATATCTGTTACCATGTGATTGTAGTATCAGACATAATATCATATCCCATTAGTTTCTTTACAGCCAACTTGTTGGTTACTTGTTGTTATATAAGCGAGCTTTTTACTTGACCGACACTGCAATACGCAAGTCTTTGATATTGTTACACAAAGGCCGGCTGTACTCATACAGTAGAATTATGGTATATATCAGAGTCTTTCGCCAGGATCCTCTGCAATGCCAGGCTGAGAATGGTATTATCATCCTTAAAAGCCTTCAGTGTTAATTTCGAAATTGGTGAAGTTCTCACAAACCTGTTCTATCTGTTCACATTTTCTAGGCTCACAAAGTTGTTGAAAAGACATAGTCAAAACACAGGAGTATTTTGTTGTGCAAATTTATCGGACGCACGAATGCAACTAATTCGAACAGAGAGATTCAACCAGACAGTTCCCGTTCACTGCTGGTGTTAAAAAATCTGCTTCACGTTGTTAGCTGGATGTGTATCGCGTTATAGATGCACTTGAAAGTTTGAAGAACACTCGAAAATCTAGATTTGCCTTTGGCTACGCTCATTCACGTCCACAAATCTAGAGCCGCTTGTCTATATATATCTTAGCCGGCAGTGAAAATATTAGTTCAAACAACTAGCTGATCATATAAATATATCATGTGCTTTCAGAGCCACCTTTCCCTCGTGCCAAGCAAAGTGACAGGTGGCTGTGCCGAGGACAAGCGCCTCTCTCGTGCTCAGCAAACTCCTGCCGGGATGCATTCCAACGAAACGCAACTGAAGCAGGTCAAGCAGAAAGCATGAAGCAAAATCTTTATCATTCACAGTTTCGATGTTCATCGAGACTTCCTCAGCTGAATGCTAATCAAATACTTTTTCAAAACAATAATTATGATTTTAGTACAAAGGAAACTACGAACGTTAATGGACTAAACAACGTAACGTCAACTTCACCTGAAAGATAACAGTTTTTTTGAGTTGATGACCAAGGTTTTTAAAAAAGCGTTGTGGAATCCCCACAATTATTCAGTTATTCAGCTAAAAGTAAGAGTAGCTATAGCTGAGTAGCTAAGCTAATAGCTGAGAGTAGCTATTGAGACTGCAGTCGATGCACTTTGAAAACATCAAACCATGACTTTTCGTAGTTTAGTGAACCAGCCGCACCATGATGAATAACACGCTAATAAAGGTGTTCGGGTCTCACTGTGTTGAGTTTGACTGGAGGCAAAATCGCATATGCTGGACAGAAATCTAGAAGAAACCGAGAAAAAAAAGTTTCGATCCAGTGGGCGCACGGGTAGAGAGGAATGACGTGCTTCGATCCAGCCACTGACAGAAAATGCAACCAAGCTCAAACCACTCAAAGATGTTTGAGAACACTTTGAAAAGACAGTTCCATAGGCTTAAATATTTATGTAGTTGCGACGTTATCATATCAACTTGTTCGGCTTGAAAATTTGAATGTGGCATACACAAAGATCTGGCCTTAGTTTGTGTGAAAAAGACTTCCTAGACTCGCACGAAAATGTGTACTCTATGATTTGCCCAATAAAACTTCTTACATGACCAGCCAATAGAGAGACC